ACTCTAGAATTCTGGAAGTCAGTGAGGATTAAGTTCAATGGCCTGAGTTTGACTCGAAGGCCACTACTGCTGCAAATCCTTTTGAAGGTGTCATGTGAAATGATTGATAGAGCGGACCCTGTGTCCAACTCCATCGATAAGGGAACCCCTTGCAACTTCACGTCAATGCAAAACTTTTTCTTAAGGGGCTTGTGTGTCCCTGTCCTCAGAATACTCCTGCTCGATGCGCAGACACCCACCCTGTGTTGGCTGGGGACCCTGGTACCTTTCTGAAGCAATTCTTCCTGAGGTTGGACCTTCTGGCGACCCAAACAGATGGAGGCAATGTGGCCTTGCCTGCCACATGCCCGGCAAATGGCGGAGCGGAATCTGCAGTCAGCTCGCTTGTGGCGTCCTCCACACCTGAAGCACTGAGGAGATGCTGTGGCCTTGTCTGGACACCCCGTCAGCCTTCTCTCTGCTGGCTGGTGAAGTCTGTCCACCTCCTCTTCATGATCCGATTCTGGATCTTCTCGAACGACCTCTTGATGGACGGTCATGGTGGCTGGAGGGTTTCTGGTGAACTGCAAAACCTTCACAGCGCCACCTGCTGCTTCTTCAGTTGCAACTTCTCTTAAGGTATCTTGGAACGATACTTCTTCTTTGGCAAAGATCTTCTGTTGCAGTTCTCTATTTCGTAGGCCACAAACGAAACAATCTCACAGCCTCTCTTCCAGGTCCTTGAACTCACAAGGCCTGGCTGCTTGTCTTAGGACAGTGATGAAATCCGCAGCAGATTCACCCAGCCTCTGGTCTCTCTAGGAATAACCTTCATTGAATTGTCCTACTTTTCCATAAGTGCATAGGATTGTGCTTTTAATTATTTTCTGTTATCAATTTTAATAACTATTATATAATTTCCAAAAAGTGCTCCAGATGGGTACACAAAATACAAATTCTTTGTATCTTTGGTGTCTTAGTGTATTGATTTACTCTTAATCCAAAATAAATTAGAATATGCTCTATTCACCCTGTTAGTACTTTTCAGATTAGCTTGATTTCAGGTTTTTTTCTTAATTGATTTCTTTTCTTACTTCTAATGTACCATTTTTTCTAGTTCTGGCTGGACATTTGAAAAACCATAATCCTTTGTTTATTATAAGCTATTCACAACCATGATTGTTCCTTGCATTTTCTGTTGGACATATCCCTGGCCCTTTCATTATGCCAGCTGTGAAGCAGAGTACTGGCATGCTAGCATGTTGCAAACACTGAAAAACAATACTTCCTTTGCACTCTCATAAAATCAGCTTCTTTTTCTCTTTTCATTCCAGCACTGACTTGAACACACATTTCCCCTATGTGCTGGATTTCCATCAGCAAAACTGCCTACCATGTCCCCATTTCTCAGCTTGTACAGTATTTCTGTCACCCTTCCCAGCGCAAGGAGAAGCTTCTAGAACAGTGGTTCTCAACCTTCCTAATGCCGCGACCCTTTAATACAGTTCCTCATGTTGTGGTGACCCCCAAGCCCCCATCCAGCTGGCCGGGGGGATATCAAAAACCTGACCAAAAAAAGAGGAAAAAATGGGAAAGTATAGGTAGTCCTCAACTTACAACAATTCGCTTAGTGACTGTTTGAAGTTACAACAGCACTGAAAAAGCGAATTATGATCATTTTTCACACTTATGATTGTTGCAGCATCCCCAGTCATGTGATTTACATTCGGAGCTTGACAATTGATTCATACTTCTGATGTTCACAGTGTCTCAGGGTCACGTGATCAATGGCCAGGGAGTGTGGCCAGCTGATCACTCAGGTTGTAGAGTGCCTGTGGGGGGAAATCTGTGGGTCTCTGGGATGGGACTGGGGTGGGTGCCTGCCTTCCTTCCCTCCCTTCTCTTCCCTTGTCCCTTCCTTCTTTTCTTCCTTTCCTTCACCTCCCTCTTAGTCTCTTCCTCCTTCCCTCCCTCTCCCATTGTCCCTTCCTTCCTTCTTTTCTTCCTTTCCTTCACCTCCCTTAGTCTCTTCCTCTTTCCCTCCCTCTTTCCCATTGTCCCTTCCTTCTTTCCTTCCTTTCCTTCATCTCCTCCTTAGTCTTTTCCTTCTTCCCTCCCTCTCTCTCCTTGTCCCTTCCTTCCTTCTTTCCTTCCTTTCCTTCACCTCCCTCTTAGTCTCTTCCTCCTTCCCTTCCTCTCTCCCCTGTCCCTTCCTTCCTTCTTTCCTTCCTTTCCTTCTTAGTCTCTTCCTCCTTCCCTCCCTCTCCCAATGTCTCTTCCTTCCTTCTTTCCTTCCTTTCCTTTCCCTCCCTTAGTCTCTTCGTCCTTCCCTCCCTCTCGCATTGTCCCTTCCTTCCTTCTTTCCTTCCTTTCCTTCACCTCCTTCTTAGTCTCTTCCTCCTTCCCTCCCTCTCTCCCATTGTCCCTTCCTTCCTTCTTTCCTTCCTTTCCTTCCCCTCCTTCTTAGTTTCTTCCTCCTTCCCTCCCTCTCTTCCATTGTCACTTCCTTCCTTCTTTTCCTTCCTTCCTTCCTTCCTTCCTTCCTTCCCTTTGTCCCTTTCTTCCTTCCTTCCCTCCCTTCTATTGTTCCTTCCTTCCTTTCCTCTCTCATTGTCCCTTCCTTCCCTCCCTCTTTGTCCCTTCCTTCCTCTCCCCCTCCATGCCCAAGAAGGGACAAGGGGAGGGGGATAGGCTGCCAGTGTGGCTGAGGGCTTTGCTGTCAGTGGCCATAGCAACATGCCAAACCTGCCTGTACACAGGCAGAGGAGAGCTCCACCCATCTCACTTGCTCAGCTTCACTGGAAGACATGCTGCTTGCTAAGTTAGAAGAAGCTCCAGGATCAGCACTGGGCTACAGCTGATTCATGCTTCTGCTAAATTAGCAAGCGGCATGTTTTCTAGCAAAGCTCAAGCAAGTTTGCTGGGCAGGAGCCAAGGAGAGCAGCTACAGCTGATCTGCGCTTCTGGGCTGCTCTGCAGAAGCGTGGATCAACTGAAGAGGCTTGCCCTGATCCTGGACAAGAGGGAAGGAAGGAAGGATGGGAGGGACAAGGGGAAAGAGGGAGGGAAGGAGGGACAAAGAGGGAGGTGGAAGGAGGGAAGGAAGGAAAGAAGGAAGGAAGGGACAATGGGAGAAGGAGGAAAGGAGTAAGAGACCAAGAGGGAGGGAAGGAAAGGAAGTTCCAGCCAGCAGAGGCTTGGCAGCCTGGCTGCTGAGGAACAGAAGAGCGCAAAGCCAAGGAGAAGAAGGTGGTGGTTTCCTCCCAAAGGGGGCTCCTTTTCTCCACCCCTTCCCAGGGTTTGTGAGGAATTTCTCATCACCAATGCTGACAGGTGCTCCTTCAAGCCTGCCGCGAGCTTTCTTACCCCCTTTGCTTCTCCCCCTTGCTTTCGTGAGGATTGTGGCACCCTTGGGAAGCTGATCGTGCTTTGAAACTTAGGAGAGTCCCTTTCTCCTTCCCTCCCTCTCTCTCTGTCAAGCCCTGGCAGGCTCGACATGAATGGGCAGAGGAGGAGACGAGGATGGGCAGGGTGGCAAAGGAGACTGGCGACCATCGCCAGACCTCCCGGTTGACAAGCGCAAGTTCGGGGGTTGCCAGCTGACAGGCGCAGGAGTTGGGTGCGTGCACACAGGTCAGCCTCACTTTCGCTGACCTGCGTGCACGAGAAGAAATCAATCTGGTTGCTGCATAATGAGTCTCTGGGGAGGGCGGGGCCTTGCTCTGCACCTGCACTCTTCATGCGCCTCCTGCAGAGCACATTTGGTAGAGTTTGTGCAGACTGGCGCCAAACAGCATATTTTCCACAAACAAGTGAGGTGGAGTGGAGGGGGGGGGGAGAGAAGGTGGTTGACAAGCCCTGCCTAAGACCATTGGAAATATGTGTTTTCCGATGGTCTTAGGCTACCCCTGTGAAAGGCTCATGCGACCCCCCCCAAAAGGGTCATGACCCACAGGTTGAGAACTGCTGCCCTAGAATGAAGAAATGCACAGAAATATAGTCATGCATGGTCAACTTTGTGAGATATATAATGTATATGTTGGTCCAATATACTTTTTTATTTCTCTTTTTATTAATGAATGTGGAAGAGATACTACTATTTATATTAGTACTGGAAGCTCTGGGCAAGATAAACATCAGGTAAATCATATGGAATGTTAGGTCCACCTTCATGTCCTGCCATTCTGTTGGGGGGGGGGAGAAACAATGACATATCTGGGATGCTTTTGCTTTGCTTTAATGCTTGGGAATTAGAGTGGGGGGATGGCCTTTGGAGATGAAGCAGATTCCCTCCCAGCCGGTTCCAGCCTGGTTCCAAGGCAGTCATGCCCTGAGAGTGACCTGTTATCCTTGTCATCTTTCTTATCTTTCATCTTTCCTTCTACCTTCTCCAATTGGTATATTATGATTTATCAATTGTTTGCATCTTACAATTCATGATTGTATCTTATGATTTAAGATCTATGAATTATCACTTTGTTGTTTGTATGTACAGTGAAAGCTTATGCACCAGAGACAAAGTTCTTGTGTGTCCAATCACACTTGGTCAATAAATAATTCTATTCTAATAAATATGGGACTAAAAAGTTCCATTTATTTTATGAATAAATTTTAGAATTGTTATTATTATTATTAGTTTAGTATAGTGGAAATTTTATGATATTGTGTTGTTTATAAATTGGGATTTTAATTTGTTTATATGATTAAGTTTATTCTTAAATTGTTTACTTTGTGTTAAAAGAGAGTTAAAGCACATTATATTTGTTTATCTATATAGTTGGTCAATGTTAGTTAGATTATGATTATTATATTTATTATCCTGTATTCAGCTCTGGGAAGTGGGGTAGGGGGGTAGGGGAGGTAGTGTGGGTGGGTTTGGGGTATATTTTGTAATTTTTTGTAAAACTTTTCAATAAAAAAAAATAATTCTATTTATTCTATAATTTTTATCTCTGGTCCATCCAGAATCAAATATCCTCATCTGATTCTTAATTTTAACTGGGATCTTTCCCAACAATTGGATCTCATTCCCCAAAATCATAAGTCTCTGTTGTAGATATATCTGCAGCACTTGCTGTTCAATTTTTTTTCTACTTGGATATAATAAGTTCATTCCCCAGTTTCTATCAATCTTCTTAAGAAAGTCCAGTTCATTACCATCAGTTCTGTCAGCTCTTTAAGTCTTTAGAATCCATTCCTCCTTTAGCCTTCTCCAACAAGCCTAATAAGTTTCAAATCAAACTTCTTCTCTTTCAAATCCATCAGCAATAAATTAGATTCCAATCTGTCCCACTGTAAATCTGCTTAGCTGCTGTTACTTGTATCTGAGCATCATCTTTGGGTTGTTTTAAAACCATTGTTATTTTATCAAACTTCTTATCTAAATTTTCAATTTGAACTTGTAATTGAAAAGCACTTTTTTCTCAAAGGCTTCGGAATTCATGGCACATTTTTTGGGGGAAAGCCCAATCTCAGCTGTTGAATGTGGAATTCCACCTATCTGCCCATCAGTGTTCTCAAAACATATTCACAACATCATATTGGCTGCAGGTGGACTGGTCAGGGTGTGTGTGTGTTGGGAGTTGGGGAAAACAAAAGAATAGCTGTGTGCATTGAGTAGGATCTTCAGATTCCGCCTGACTTTCTTGTAACCACTTTCTCTCAGTAAAAGTTCTTTTGAGTCAATTGCATGGATTCAAGTGTTTTACTTTCCTGGGGGACCAGCTGGGGCAGATCCTTACACGGAATCTCCAAATGATGAAGACAAAATGGGAGGTATGTTTTGTATCTGTTGATGTGGCCTAGTCTCATTCCCTAATCCAAGATCCATTATAACAGCCATTAGGTTTATTTTCCTGACCATTGCAAAAGAGGCATGAAGTGTAAAAACAGCAACAAAGCAATTCAATGAACATTTTTGAGAAGCCTGCATCTTTATGATGCATTCAAGACCCAAAAGCAGGAAAGAAAAAAAAATGTGTTGCTTGCAATGTTTATATTCATTAGGAAACATGCCAAAAGTTCAGCTGAGACCCAAAGTCGCTCCAAGCATTCTGTTTCATCCACAAATTACTTTAGGTTTTCTATCCCTGAAGCCTGTCAGGTCCATCTCAGATCCATTCATGTCTCTTCACCCGCCTTCCCTTGTTGAAGGCAGATTTTAGAATTTGGTATTTTCTGTTCACAATGATATGCTTTGAACCAGATTTCCCCTGCAACCTTCAAGGAACTGAAAAAAAAACAAAACAGAAAGTAAGTCCTGCTTCATTGCTATGAGAATTAAGACCTATTCAGAAAAATCATGCTTGAATTCAGAACAAGTGCAGTACATTGAGGACAGAGTGAGCAGCACAAAAATCTCTCAGTGACTGCTACATCTTCTTTTAGGTATTTGACATGTCTTGACAGTTATCTCTAGCTTGCATTGATGCTTTATGGACTTATATAGCATTATCATAAAGTAGCACTTTATCCAAGCACCCAAATTGAAAGGTCATAGTGATAGGGAGAAGGCAGACTCTGCACATCTTCAGGAGCCACCTGGGCATGTAATTTTCATGCTAGCCATATGGAAATAGTTTGCCATTGCCTGCTTCTAGAGGATGGTTTTTTTTGCAACTTTACAGTCTAGCTCAGCTGCTCCTAACCTTTTGGGCACCAGGGACTGGTTCCATGGTGAAAGGTTTTTCCGTGGATTGGAGGTGTGTGGTTTCGCATGCTACCTGCATCTCGTGGATGGGGCTTTGCTTGTTTGTGCAGACTGGTTGCTGGCATGCTCCAACCAGGTGCGGTCCATGGACTGGGGGTTGGGGACCCCAATCTAGTTTACATCTTTTTTTTGATGGCTCCTATCAAAATACTACCAACTTAGATGCTGCTTATCTTTTTTCAAGATCACCCAAGTATTGTTGAGAGCTACCACATATGAAAGGCTCTTTGATGTTAACTGATAACTAATTTTTAATTATAACTAACTTTATGAAAGAAGCATATAATAGAGCACATGCTTAATGATTAGCATTTCTCTCTTTCTGATACTAGACTTGTTTTTTTATTAAAGGATCTACATTCAAAATCTTTATTCTCATTAACAGTTTAATACTTTGCACAATAGATTGCTTTTGAAGCCTCTACCCAATGGACTTAGTGTTCAATTGACATCTTCACACTTATATATATGTCTATATCATTGCAAGTTCACCTTTCTCATGTCCTTAAGAGCAAAACCATGCAGATTTGTCTAGGGAGATTCTCAGTCATCCAAGTCATGATTATCCCAAAGGTGCTTTTTCAAAAGGCAACCGGACTTTCTTGTTTTTCTTTGAAAATGTTTCACTTCTCATCTAAGAAGCTTCTTCAGCTCTGACTGGATGGTGGGGAATGGAATGGGTGAGAAGCAAAACGTCTTCAAAGACAAACAAGAAAGTCCAGTTGCCTCCTGAAAAAGCACCTTTGGGACAACCATGCAGATTCTTCATTTGATTTGCTGTTTGGCTAACCTTTATATATTGAATGTTTCCTAGATGCCCAAATCTTCTTCTGAGCTGATAGTCTTTGCAGTCTGATACTTACTGCACAACGTCAGCCAAGGCAATAAAGAGGGGTTTTGATTGATATTCAATTCCATGTTTGGCACACATGGATTTCACCAAAGGAGTCGCCTTCCAAAAGTTGTGCCGAGGCATCGTAGGGAAGAGACTATAGGCAGAAAGGAAGGCAAAGAATTATGATCTCTTTACTTCTTCTTCTTCTTGTGCCATATCCGTTATCAGACGTTGGTGATCATGTTGGCGATCCTATACGAACTATGAAGCAATTTTTCACTGATACCTTAAAATGTTTCTCATTGCCCTAAAGGTGTACTCACTGGTGCTCAATTTGACAATTCAGGTGCCCCGTTACCCAGTCATTGAAAAAAGATTGATTCACATTGCATGTTGCCTGAAGCTGGGAGAAGAGAGAAAGAGAGATTTTAGTCCAGACATACTGTGAATGATGGAAGAACAATTTTCAGGCAAATGTCCATGATTTATATTCATGTATGTGTGTATGTATGTATCGGTATATAATTTGTATTTCTAGATAAATATATTGAATTTTGGAAATTATATTAGTTTAAATACTCATTTGGTATCAAATCTGATAATCCCCATTGCACAGTTTTGAAAACATGGAAAATTAAAATGTAATTCTACTAATATGTTCATTTTTCATTTTGTGAAACATTTCTTTTCAACAGTTACTTTCAAATCTTCTCCTTATTTATTCCAGACTGAACCAGGTTGTCTGGTAAGATTCGAACTGACAAGCCTCCTTTTCTAAAAAGTATGTCCTGATCTTGATGAAAACCTGATGCTGGGAATGGAAAAGAAAGAAATGATTTCTGCACTGGCCGGTTTCTCTTTGGTGCTGTCATCTTAAAATGAGCCCAAAAAAGTTATTTGTTCTGCTCATCTCATTTCCATGTTTATAAAATCCGAACAAATGTGAGGGCAATCATAACCTATAAGAAAAGGCATGGTATTTTTCTAAACACACTTCAAACTTTTCTATGATGGGAAAAGCATTATCAAAAAAAATAGGTAAAAATAACTTCCAAAAAGGAATTCAGTTTTCACCTATGCAAATTATAGTTTGATGCTGTGGTAATTGGATTATTATGGTTCTCTGAGTTATTGTGCATATAATAAAATTACACAGACAAGCTAAAGTTTAATTGTGTGCAGTCATTAATTTTGTCTTTGAGATCTCTCTTACCTGTGTAGAGAACCAATCCATGTTTTTATCATGATCAATGTGCATAGGAAGATGATTTGTCTGCGATATCCATGTAAATAGGATACTCTCAAGAACACTGAGAGACAGAAATGGGGAAAAGTCAGGAAGTGAAACTATATCTACACAAATCAACCATTAAATAGAACAGTGGGACAATTTATTGGCTTGTTTGCTAGGCTTACAATGCAAATCATTCACTAGACTCAGGGTCCCTATCCCCTGGGCTGTGGGCCGATACTAGTTCGTGGCCTGTTGGGAACCAGCCCAAGCAAGTGGCATGTGAGAGTGCGAAGCTTCATTTGCACATGTGCAGGATTAAGTTGAGCGCATGAACCCATCCCCTCTCCTCCCACCGCCACTGCTGCCACACATAGCCGCCAGGCACCATCACTGGTCAGCCAAAGAGGTTGGGGACTGCTGCACTAGACCTCATGATGCCTTTCTGTGGAAACCAATACCTCTCCAACTGAAACAACCCGAATGACAATTCAAGGCTTTAACAAGACTTTTGTTAAATTCCAGTTGGTTTGTCATTTGCATTTCATTTTTAAGTTTTAAAACCTCAACCAGTTTCTTTTGAAGATCCAGTGAAACATCCTTTTCTAACTAATTCTTTTGGTCTATCAGTTGTAAATCCAGTTTCAATACTATCTCCATCTTATCAAAATTTGTTCTAAAAATGACATTTCTTTGATAACATCCTTTGGACATAGTTTATCCATTAAAGCACCATCATTATGAAAATATTGATATGATGGAATTCAGTTCTTCTCCTTCAGTGTTTTTATTTTCATAACATTTTGTACTATCTTGCAGGCCTGTATATCTTTCCTCTACTTAAAATCTTTAATCCCCTCTTGTGTCCAGTTTTTGAAATCATGAAATTATTTACCTGTATCATGTTCTACAAAAACCAAAACAGGATCTATTTCCCATAAGAAGCTCTTTGTACTTTATAATTAATTCCAAAATCTTATTATAAAAGTTTTACTATTCCAATTTTATGTGGACCTTTAGCCTACGTGTTACTTTCTAAGATCAAAATCATATTTAACTTTTTGCTGATTATTTCAGATTCTTAAGCTTAATAATCAAAACTTTCTTCTGTTCTAGGCTGAAAGGCAAATTTATCCTGCATTTTCAAACTTGTCATTCTAACAGCTTAGAAGTAGTTAATCAGCAATTTCTGAAAGTGATTAGAAAGTGCTCTTTGCAAACTTCGTATTCTTTGAAAATCTCTCCTGCTATTGGGAGAAAGGTGGCTAGTCTTGTTGTCTCCGAGTACTCAAGCCTGTGGAAAATCACTGTCCTGTGAAGTAGACAATTCAATATGGCACTTAGAATTGAGGACTGCTTCACCTCATGGAGTTACATCAAAGTGGCACTTCATCTAAGGTTCAGTCAAAATGAAGAACCGCTTTCATGCTTTGCATATATGTGATGATTGATTCACATATGCAGATTGTAAAAAAAATGTATGCTGCTGATGAATGCATGTGCACCAGTCTTCAACAGGGAGAAAATGAGTGTGTGTGTCCTAAAAATAGGGGGGATGTTTTGGGGTTAGTTCAGAACAGCCTTTCACAGCCTGGGCACTCAACTCAACTCCCAGAATTCCCTAGCCAACAAAGCCATTACTGCCAATGGTAGAACTGAAGTCACACATATGGAAGTGGGCAAGTTTGGGAAAGGATAATCTAGAGCAGGGGTCTTCAGACTTGGCCCTTTTATGACTTGTGGACTTCAACTCCCAGAATTCCTCAGCCAGGCACGCTGGCTGAGGAATTCTGGGAGTTGAAGTCCACAAGTCATAAAAGAGCCAAATTTGAAGACCCCTGATCTAGAGAATAGTCAGGGTCTGTGAAGGAATGGTAAACACAAAGAAAAATAGTACATATGATGAACAGTACTTCAAAAGAAGAAGGTATCCCAGAACACCCTTGAATCCCATTATGGGGTAGAAGGCAATAAAGAATCGGATAAAATATGCAAAAGTCCATGCCATTTCCTGCAGAAGAGAAGAAAAGGAACAGACATTAGAATAGCATCTTCCCTTGTTCCAAGTAGGGTTAGGGTTAGGGTCAACCTGATGTGACTTTCAGTTGACATGACTTCACCATCACAAAATCTACTGACCACCTGAAAACAAGCAGAAGAACATCAACAATGCCATCCCTAAACTCTGCTGAAGATGTTACCTACCCTGGTAATGAAACGTTCAGAAACCAGCCCACAAGCTCAGAGAATGAACCTCCACCCTTGTTATTTTCAGTAACTGATATGTTTATGTGATATCAGGTGAAAATGTAGAGTTTTTTTTAGCTTTGGTTATGTCACAAAATTTCAGCCATTTTTAATTAGGGTGCTTGTCAATAGTGCATGGCAGATCCCCACTTTAAAATACGGCTGGAAAAGTCTCTTTTTCCATCACCTCTATTAGAAAAAAAATAAGTCCAACCCGATTTCCAATCCCTCTAGATTGTTTTTAAAAAGAAAAATGAACCATAACTTTACTTTTGTGTTCAAGCCACCATAAATAATTCCTGAATCAAAGCCCTCAAAATCACTACTTGAGAAAACTGGATTGTAATTCTTGTACATTCTTAGTTCAACCGATGTCATTGTCCAACTCTATGCCTCCATCTTTCCCTATGCCTTCTACATGTTTGTTTCCTTAGACAAAAATTTAATGTCTTCTTCATAAAAGGCCTTTTGATAGCCAGCAATAGTTCATCTGGAAGCACTTTAGAATTGGATGGCATTGATTTTCCTATTAACAATATCCCCGTGTCAGTTTTTATATGGTCCTAAAATGGTTTAGCTTTTTCATTCCCTCTTAAGGAAATAAAATTCTAAACCTAGAAAGTTACCACGGGGGAGGGGGGAATCTCAGTATTTTAATATTTGGTATGGATTATTTGTATACTCACCCTCCAGAGTTTGCGCTGGAATATAAAGTACAATGAGTAAACATGAAAAACTGGCCCTATAAGCAGTGGCAATGCTGTAGAAGGAAACAAGATGCATATAGCCATTAATTGTTCTTTTCAAACACAGAGGAGATATATAGAAACAGGAAGTATCAACCACACTCCTCAAATGTTTTGTATTTAACATTTTGGAAACATTATCATTGTATTTGGGAATCTCATCATAAACCAAACCCCAAAATGTGTACATGGCAGACACTGCCTGAATTGTGCCACTCAAATTGTGTTGACTCCATTAGAACCAATTGACTAAAATACACTTGAATGAATGAAAAGAATCTCTTGTTATTCCTGGTGATAAGTGGACAATACTATCTTAATCTACTCAGGTTTATTTAGAAGAAAGCCCTGGTAAATCTAGTGAGACCTGCTTTTAAGTTTATGTATTCATTTATAAAGGGCACAGCTGTCCATCTTGTAAAACATAGCTCTGAGAAATTTATAAAAATATAAAACCTAAAGCAAGAGACAGGGCAAGCCACTATTAGTATATATAAAGAGAGCAAACCCCACTACTTTCTAGCACTGATGATGTTACCTAACTGGGTAATGAAATGTCTGCAAGAAAACTACCAACCTCAGAGAGCATCAAGGACCCCACAGTTCCAACCTGAGCTACAAATATTCTCTTCTATTGGAATCAGCTAAATAAAAGGTGATTTTCCTGCAAGGCGGGGGGGGGGGGGATAGTCAAAGGAAAAGAAGCATAGAGGCACAATAAGAAAAGTTGCAAGTGCTCTAGTTGCTGGCCAAAATCAGAGAAGAAAAAAAGGAGAAGAAATTCTAGAGAGAGGAATTAAGGGAGAACAATGTTTGTAAGAAGAAAACATTGTTATACAATATTACTATCGAGTCTGGTAATAAAGTATAATAATTGCAATCATTATAATAACTGTAATTAATGTAACAGTATAGAAATAGCAATAGAATAAAATATAAAATAGAGGCAATAGAAACACACAGATAAACTTGTAAGTTTCACATTTCACTTTTATATCTTGGATTTCTTTCAAAAATAAAATATCTCCCTAACCCTTATAGGAAAATATTTTAAAGAAAAAAAACCCCACTTGTTCAGAGTCCAGGGCTTTTGTGGTTCTTGAGACTCAGACTCAAGAGTCAATTTAATTGGAGACAGGTAAAAAAAAAAAAAGCATATGTCAGAGATCCCCTCTGAACTGCTGTAAGCAATTATCGGTGGTGGCCACTAGCTTGGTTGGCTTCAAAAAAGGGTTGGACCAATTCATGGAAGCCATGAGAACCAATGGCTATTAGCCTGGATGGCAGTCTGCCTGTCTGAAGGGAGGCCAGTGGGTTTTCTTGGTAGGTCATTGTGAGAATGGCCTCCTGAACCTGTTGGGCCAGAGGTGGGATCCAGCAGGCACCATTGATGCTCTTATGAATAAAGTAGTTTCAAAAAGAAAAGCAACTGCTGGCCAAGAGGATGGAGCATCTTTTGCATTATTTTCCAGTCTCTCTTCCATGGCAGCTTTCTTCCTAATTTGATTATGGATAGTCCTCGGTCCTGCCTATAGTTTAGAGCACCAAATAATTGAGCAGCTGCAAGAGAAAGTGTGGTAGCCCCTCCAGCTCTCTTTGCACTGCTTAGGCCTAGCCTGCTTTTGAAGACGTGGACTTAGAATCAGGACGCCTCCATCCACCTTAAATGCACAGTGGTGTCTGTTTGCTCTGAGAAAGAAAAGAATTCCTCCTCATTCTCTGCAATGTTCTGCAGTTGCCGCCACTGCTTTTGTTCTCCCCTCTTCCTCCTCTTTATCTTATTACTAATAAGACTGCAAAGAATATAAATTCTTTCCTTCTCCACCATTCAGTCAGAATAGAAAAAGCTTCTTGGGTGAGAAGTGAAATGTCTTCAGGGGAAAACAAAGTCCAGTTGCCTTTTGAAAAAGCACCTTTGTGACAACCAGGAGCTGCATGACTGAAAATCGCCATAGACACTTATCACTAATACGTAATAAGAGTTGTTATTAATCTGCACTGGGCTGGGCATTATGTAGAATGCATATATAATCTGTCCATTAGCTCATGGTGGAAAAGATAAGAGTCCAAAGATAATCCACAACTTTTTTGTGAAAGTTGTTTTTTTACACAAAAAAACTTTCATTTACACTTAGTTAGAGGTAGGGGAAAAATCAGATACTCACTAAAGAAAAAATATTTGTGCTGATAGTTATAAGGCATGTATTTCTTTTTCTGCAAACCGAACTGTAAAAGAAAGAAAGCCATGAAAAAACAAATAACTTTCACTAGATAATGATACTTTAAGGCTCCATTTTTATAACATCTTTTTCAGCTGCTCTGTGAAATAAATACTCAAGCAAGAAAAAGAGAAGAAAAGTGAGATGCACACAACTGTCACAATAATAGATTGTAATTGTGGTAGTTAGAGTAGATTGTAGTCTTTATTTTCAAAGTTTCGAGATGCAGATACACACAGCAGAGTGAGGTAGCTTTTGAGCTAAGTCCTACAATATAAATACGGAAAGAGCATTCTTAATTTTATATTTTTTAGCCAGGACAGGAAGTTTTTTGGTAGCAAAAAAACTAGATAAACTTTTACTAATCTTTCCATTAATAGAAGGCCCCAAAGAAAAGCATTACTGATGGACCAGGATCTTCTGAGTTCAAAGTGCTCCATTGTCCCAATATCAGCTCTTCAGCCCCACCATCCTATCTCTGGCACAATTAATGTGCTGACAGGTGTCAGTAGGGGTGAATTAACAACAAAAAGGGAATCCAGAATCTTAGCTAAAGAGGCAACTTCTTCATTTTGAGATTTTTACTGACCCCCACATCCTTAACAATCAGAGATTTGTGGCTAAATAGGTTCTGTTCTGATCTGAAAGGCCAGGGTTCAGTAAAATCTGTTGCTTCTTACCTCCAAAGAAAGAGGTTCCCCTAATGAAAAAAAAACGGGATGAATAGAAACATCTGGGTCCTTCTGGAAACAGTTGGGTTTAGCATGATGCTGGGAATGGTACAAAGACCACCAATGAGCTGAAAGTCCCTGTAGAGGAAGAATGAAAGAAAGCATTCAGGCACTTTTAAAAGATTACTTGACTATTTACTATAGCACTATTCTGCTTTGAAGAGGCAATATATTATAGAGGACATTCCACTGAACCTTTGAATCAGATTTTCAAATAAGTTTGAGGGGTTGAATCAGCTGACTCCGAATTATCTTGTAGAGGTTCAAAAACAGTTTGAAGATTAAATGCGCTTTTCAGCTTTGAAGAATCTCAAGCATTCGTTGCATATATGGACAAAGCTGGGGGAATTTGAGTACTGTACTGAGTTCTCTGATATTAACTTTAAGTAGGTGGCAAAGGAGTTTTATCACCTTTTCAAACCCTGTCTATCAAAGCCCTGGAAGATGTGCTGCTCTGCCATTTGTGTATTTAGAGAGATTTTTCTGGGGGGAAAAAAACAGAATACAAAATCGAGGACTAAGTTTATTTGTCTCGTTTTTAATGAATCTTGCTCTTCCTTGCCTCCACACCATTTTATCATTATTCTTTTTTGACTCACCTGTAGATTTGTGTCCCTGTTAGATTTGTGTCCAGTATTTTCCTTCCTTATTTATCACTGGCATTTAATCAGGCTTATTGATCAGGGAATTTTATCACCGGGATTTAATCAGGCTTATCTTACAGTTGTACCAAAAGCAGGTGAAGATAACACCTGGTATGCTATTTCTCATCTGATTTCCTTGCTAATGTTGATACAAAGATTTTAATAGTTAAAAATAGTTTGTTATTAAAATCAATCAAGCATAGGCCATAGGCCATGGACTGGTACCAGAGTACGGCCTGTTGGGAATTGGGCCATGTAAGTGGCGAGTGAGCTCGCAAAGCTTCATTTTTGCATGCGGGGAATTAGTTTGCACACGTGAAACCATTCCCTCCCTCCCCACCACCCTGGCCGCCAATGCCATTCTGTGGAGCCAGGAAGGTTGGGAAACACTGTCCTATATGAACCAGGTCTTGTCATCTTCAGATCTTAAATTTGGATTGGCTCTCAGTTAATTTGCATATTCATATTGTTTATTACAAGTGAAATTCCATTCTTGGTCTGCAGTTAGTAATGAGATAGATGAACAAATAGTTCGATTTAATGTAAGAGAGCTTTCTATGTTCGTTTAGTGGGAATGGGAAAATGGGAATCCCATTTGACACATCTGTTATAAATAACACAACACATTTGATACTTACTGATGAAACTTTTTCAGGTGTATTTGCAATATTCCATATTCCTTCTCTTCAATTCTATGGAACATTCTAAGAATAATATAACTTACTTACCTTTAAATGGCACATCACAAATTCATGAAAAAGATGGTTCCATTTTGGAGTGCTGAAGACTGAAAGATGTCCCAAATCATGTTGCAGCCAGCCTGCTTGAGACTAAAAGGAAAGGGTGATACACAACAGAAGGGCCACCTTTTGTCTCACTCTTACATCTCCTGAATTGGAGCTTTCCCACTATATCCAATGGTCTTTGTAATAGCTATGAAAGAATTGCTAGGATAGCTAAAATAAAAGTTCATTCTAGGATTTTTTTTTCAGTCAAAGGTGCAGCCACTCATGACTTCCGGTTCCGGATTGCGGTGACTCTAGCTGTACGAAAAGACTTGTCTCCTCGTCGGCTAGCTTCCCTCCACCGGTAGACCCTTATGCGGGTCGAAAGTTGCCCTGGAGGGTGAGACTTCTGTTGAAGAGGCTTTGCTTGGCTGAGGAGGAGCAGCGGCTCCTCCAGTTGTCCAAACTGTCTCTGAGGGCCGATGGAGAAGATCGGCCATTAAAATGGCTGATCACCCTGCCGCTTCAAACAACAAGTCAAAGAACATCTAAGCTGTAAGAACCCCCGTAGTGAATCCAGGTGAGACTTTTCCTTGCTACTCTCTCTACTCTATCTTGTTTTTTGTGCCTGTAAGAGCCTTGTTGGAATTATTTCCCTGGCTTGAAAAAGCAGCTTCTACATGTTTGGGAAGAAAGGCGTTGTATAAAAATAAAACAAAATTTTAAAGACTATATTTTATTTCTATATTTTTTGGGGTACAGAAATTTTTTTTCTCTTTCTAAGAACTGTACTACCATCTTATGCTGGAAGATTATTTCTTTGTTCACATTATACTTTAAAAGACAGAAAAAAAGGAAATGGTGTCTGGAAAAGATCTTTTTTTTAACCTACTGAGGACATCTAGTGGCGAAAACCTAATACTGCAACTTCTGGCTACTCTTTGAAGATGGAAGACCTGACCTTCAAATTATTTTTGAAGAGAAAAGATAAGCTGTGCAGCTGTGGGAATTGTGGGGGTGGATACTGCCTAACTTTTATTAAATACAGCATCCACAAAAAAGAAAAAAGAGACTCTTTTAATTACTATCAAAATGGAGAAACCTCAGTTACAATTGAACTGTAAACTTATATTGGAAAAAATTTATGAGGCTACTGCAGAAATATGTGCTACAATGAAAGAGTTTACTACAGAATTAAGATCCAGAAATCTCACTTCAAACATTCAAACTGATGTCCAGACTACAGCTGACTATTCTATAAATCAAAATATACTAGAAGAGGAATCAACAGAAATAAAAGAGGAACTTATTCTATCTTATAAACTTTCCATCTGTAACTTTGAGGAACAGAAGAAGCAAAGACTGAGATTTGAAACTACAAAGGAACGATGCTTTAAGGATGAGAGAAATAAATGCCTAATGCAGAGGATGGGACTCCTATCCTTTCAAAGGCCACTGCAAGCAACAAAAATAGATTTACTGGCTGAAAGGGAAGTTTGGTTATGGAAACCTGCCTGGCATAGAAAAAAAGCCAGAATCAGACTGAAAAGAGAAATTTAAAATTGTGTAATGGATTAAAAGGCAATGTTGAATTTATGGACTGTTTTAAGGATTAAGATTTAGAGTTAGAAGAAAGAAAAAGAAATAATATAGGAGGGTGATTATTAGAATAGATATTTTAAATAGATTAAGAATGTACCTTTTGGAATAATAGGTTTATTTTGATGAAAATTATTATGCATTGGAATTGAAAAAATGTCAGCTTTTTAGATTTGCATGGTTTCAATAATTAATTGAGTGTTTTAAATTAGTAAGATGACCTTTCTGTATGATAACATAGATGTGATAAGGCATGACAATCAATTGGATGAAATTTGAATTTTGTTTAATGAATTGAAATGATTTAAGGTTTAATATTACTTTGTTATCTTAAAGAGACTGATCGATTGTGGGATTATATATGTATAGGGTAGATTAATATTTTATTTTAATTAGGATATCTATTGTGTAGCGGAAGAAGAAATAAATGAGATTGGTGATAAAAAGAGGGATGTGAGAGATTAAGAATTAGAATATATTTGGAAGGGATACCTGAATTGATAACTTGTTGATTTAAAGTTAAATTTGATTATGGTAATTGTAAACTGACAAAGTTTTAAAACAGGTTTAGCAGTAATAGAAATTTTAATTAGAAATGGAATATTTTAAATGTATTATGCTATTTGAGGGAAATAGAGAGGGGACAGTGAATGTTTTGAGTTGAGTTGTTTATATATATTTTCACTTTTGAATGTTTGATTACTCAAACACCACGGTGTGTCCTGAGTACTTTTTCTTAAGAATTAAAAAACCAATAAAATGTGTTTTTTAAAAAAGGTGCAGCCACTCAGAGAAACATTCCAAACAGGGTGTGCACAAGAAAGCTTTTCTACAATATAATCATAGATATAAACCATCTTCCACAAACATGATAGACAGTGGGAATCTGCAGCGGGCCCTGGAGGCGGTGAGTGGCCCTGCGGGCAGGTGGGGTGGGGGTGGGGCAGGGGATGGAGCAGAGGGCGGGGCCAGTTTTTGGGCACCTGGTCTCTAAAAGGTTCGCCATCTTTGATATAAACCATCTTCCACAAACGTGGTAGATAGTGGGAAGACATGGTTGTTTTTTTAATGATCTATTCCTATTCGTGTTCCATCAAGAGCCGTGGTGGCACAGTAGTTAGAATGCAGTAGTGCAGGCTACTTCTGCTGATTGCCAGCTACCAGCAGTTCAGCAGTTCGAGTCTCTCCGGCTCAAGGTTGACTCAGTCTTCCATCCTTCTTAGGTCGGTAAAATGAGGACCCAGATTGTTGGGGGCAATATGCTGACTCAGTAAACAGCTTAGAGAAGGCTGTAAAGGACTGTGAAGCGGTATATAAATCTAAGTGCTATGGCTATTGCTCTTACTGTTCTTCAGAATGGGAGATTTGAGATATAAGGTGAGATGGACCCAATATCCTTCTTTTCTAACAAATCATTTGTTGAGCAGGCCCCTCCCCCATGATGGCATGCTTAATAGATGAAAATTCTTTTCTCCCACCAACGAACAGCTGATTTTGACACCACAGCTGTTTTTTTTTTTTTTTTTTTTTTTTTTTGTAGCTTTGCCCTCCATTCTTTCAACGTGAGACTAGGAAGGACCCAAGAAGAACTTAGGACGATTGTGCACCAATGGAGAACAGGGAGTCTGGATATCTTCAATTCTTGGTAAGGTGTGATCAGAAGGTCTGGTCTCTTCCCACATTTTCCCTTTAGTTGCTCATTTTTCTTAAGTATGCCTGGTTTTAATTGCAATTTTTGAAGCTTCACAACCTCTTGATTTATGACTAGTTGATTTCTGACCTATTTTATAACTCCTTGTTGGACTTTTAGAATTTTTTTTCCTGTTCTTTCATTGCTTATTATCAAATTTTAAACTATTTGTTTTTAACCATAAAGAAATTGTGGTGGGACTTACATTTACACAGGATGATACTATAAATTTTGTTCCTTCTAGCATTTTTCTTTTTCTTTTCTTTTTCTTTTTAAAAATAGTGATATTTATCTCTTAAATTTTGATGGGAAAATTTCCCTTTCTTTAAGGGGGGGTAGGAGACCCTTTCCCTGTGGAAGCTGTTATGATTTATTTGCTTCTCCTGTCCTTGAAAATAAAAGTGTTTCTCATGCCTTTAAAAGGAGACAAAATAGTTTGGGAAGCAACTGAAAAAGAATGTTCTCCAACTTACAGGCTTTATTTGAAAATATAAACAAAAAAATTGATGAGTCAGTAACAGTTTGGCAAAGTCAAGATGATATCCAAAGACAGGAAATAATAGCTGAACCGGATTTCCAATTTGAGGAATTGGAATCTGATCTGTTGCTGTGTGTGAAAAAGAAAGTGTTTGGTTTGAAAAATATAGAATTTCCAGAAAAGATTGAAAATAATTGGAATATAAGAAATTCTGAGATAATGGATACGATGAAAGATGGACTGGACTTTCTTGGCAAGAAGAATGTTGTGTTGTCAAAGAGAATTATTCAACAATGGATGTTGCAGAATTATTTACAATTATTAACTTTGAAAGTGAGATGTAATTGTTGGGAAAGTTCCCAATTAAAAACCCAAGCAAAGGTTTCATCAAAGAAAGGTATTTGATCCTGGGCTCAGAGATAACGATTGGAGCAATTTATGGTAAATAAGAAACTGTGTAGACTTTCTATGAGTAAATTACAACAATAGACTGTTAATAGAGTGCTTTGAACATTAATTTTGCTTAACCTGTTTACTATTTTTTCTTTCATATATGTAAGGTATGACAGGTCAGCTGGGTTGCAAATAGATGTACAAGCTTATAAATTTTGGACCTGCTTTGAAAGTGGGGGAAGCTATTTTTGTTGCAATAGTTTTGTCAGTGTTTAACCATAATATGTGTTTTTATCCTTTTTTAAAAATTCCTATTTTTTTCAATGTTTTTGTTTAGTTTTGTCACTGTTTATTTTATTTTTTTTGTATTTTAACCTTTTGAATAAAATAAAATTGTTGGCAGATTCATTTGTTGGGCAAAATAAAAGTAGTTTTTTCTCTAACTGAATTGCTTAGTCTTCCTCAACCTTCGTTCTTCCAAACAGTTCAGAGGAAACTTCTGAAGGCTAATATCAATGGAATAGGCGTTATTTTCCTTACAGAGAATTTTTTTTTTAAATTTAGTTAAGAGATCTTGTGCTGTAGGAATCCTATCTAATGAGAAATTTAATTTTGTCTAAAAATAAAACCAAGCAAATTACCTGTGCAAGGGTCAAACAAAGTGTCGCAAGAAGAAAAGGTGTTATAGATGTCCCAAAATACCACATCACAAACCAGCCAGCAGCATCCAGCAGTAAAATATGCAGAAACATCAGGAAAAAGAAGAATTGGTTTGGCTTGAAGAGTCCCATCTTTTCAACAGTGGACACCAGCTCCCGAAAATCTTCTACTAATAATTTCTATGGGAAAAAAACGCAACAAATTTGCAGGTATTTTGACTCCATGAATCCTGTATAGCTAGCCAGTGACCCCAACAGTTAACATCAAGAACTCTTGGTGGAATTGCCGTCTGAACTATCCTTTTCCTGCCAAAATTTTTATAGAGGAATTAAGAGGAAACTGCTAGACAATTTACAAGCCACTTTGGGGACATATGGATCATCATTCATCATTCAATTAATGGCCATTCAAAGTGACTTATGACCATGTTTCACACTTAGGATTGTTGCAGCATCCCCCTTGGTCATGTGATCAAAATTTAGAAACTTGGCAACTGGCTCATATTCATGATGGTTGCAATGTCCCGGGGATCATGTGATCACTTTTTGCAACTTTCGGTCAAGGAAAGTCAATGGGGAAGCCAGATTCACTTAACAACCGTGTTACTAATTTAACAACTGCAGTGATTAACTTAACAACCGTGGCAAGAAAGATTGTAAAACGGAGCAAAATTCACTTAACAACTATCTAGCTTAGAAACAGAAATGTTGGTCTCAGTTGTGGTCATAAACCAAGGTCTACGTGTAATGGAGAAACTGACACACACAGAGAAAGAAATAACTGGTGATAACTGGGTTTTCTTGCCTAAATGTAGAACCTTACTTTTTTCACCAATGAAATTCAATGGTAAAAAAAGTAAGGTTCTACATTTAGGCAAGAAAAACTAAATACACAGGTATAGTATAGGGGGTACCTTGCTCAATAGTAGCAACTGTGAGAGGGATCTTGGAGTCCTAGTAGACAATCACTTAAATATGAGCCAGCAATGTGCTGCAGCTGCCAAAAAAGCCAACACAGCTGCATTAACAGAGGGATAGAATCAAGATCATGTGAAGTGTTAATACCACTTTACAATGCCTTGGTAAGGCCATACTTGAAATACTGCATCCAGTTTTGGTCACCATGATGTAAAAAAGATGTTGACACATTAGAAAGAGTACAGAGAAGAAGAGCAGCAAAGATGATCATGGGACATATATTTATTGTAGTATATATTTGTTCATTAAATTCATTTATAGAGTGCATTTGTAATATATTCCAAATTCACTTAAATGTAGTATTTTATTACTGTTATAAAATATGTAGTTAATATGGATTATTAATTAATATTAAATATTTATTATTAAATAGTTATAAAACTGTTACTGGTGGATAGTACCATCTATGAATCCACTATATTATTTATTTCCTATATTACTACTTTCATCAGAGTCACATCATTTGATGCCCATTGGCCAGATGTCCCACCACAGGCCATCCACAGGTATGATCAGTGCTGTTTCATTGCTCTGCCCAGGCCTGAAACCTGACTGAAAAGGATCCAGATAAACCATTTTCTCCAGACTTTCTGAGGCTGCTGTCAAGCTCCATGGGGCTTGCCATTCACAGGTGTGTGTGTGGGGGGTGACACGGGACACAACCCGCAGCTGCCAGCCGCCGCTCCAACACCGGATGCCGCCACGGATCCGGGAAGTCGCCAATGCTGCCCCAGGCACCAGAACGGGCCCGTAGGCCGTCAGGTACGGCCCTCTATCTCCCCCTCCGTTTGTACCTCAACGGCCTGCCATTCCCGGAGCGGGAAACCCACTGTCGCTGATGGAACCGCTGGGCTGGGGGGGGGGCAGCCAGTTGCCAACAAACCTCCAGGAAAGCCGCTGTTGACTGATGAATGCTGCAGGAAGCCAGCGAAGCCCGCGGCCATTAGTGGAGCAGCTGAGTGGCGTGGCCAATTGCTGCCTGTCACAGAGGGCCGCGGGAGGCCTCCGGCAGTCGAGGAAAGGGTGTTGAGCCGCAGAGGCCTGGAAGACGCTGGAAACATGAAGCCGAACCTGGGCGGCTGAGTTGAGAGACAGCAGGGCGGGACTACTCCAGGGGAAAGGCGTGGCCAGACAGAAGAGACTTTTATGGCTGTTGGGCGGATGGTGGTTAGCAGCTGGGGATGGGGTTATGGGGCATGGCACAGTTATATAAGGCACTGGGAGCAATCCACTCCCAGTGCTGACTTTTTGTTTCTTAAGGAATAAAACCTTGCTTGCACCTTGTACCTGCGTTCCTGGCTTTTGTTCTCCTGGATGACAACGGATGGCATGATAGCTGCATTGCAACCACCTGCTTAATAATTTTAAGGCTGGGATTGATTAGGTAGAGGCTGAGGAAGGCAACCTGAAAGAACCGGGTTTACTTACCCAACCTTATTGCCCAGCTGCATTTTTAAAAGTACCTTAGATCTTGTTTGGCAAAATCAGATGGAAGATCATCTGATGTGACATGAAATGAGTTAACTCTGCATCCGGAGCATGAAGAGGAGAAAACTGTGTACATTGGATGCTACCTGGATATGACGTTGAGATGACAGAAGCCTCATCTTGTGGAGTTATTTGGGCTCAGATTGAATCTGTGGAGCCTAAAGAAGCAAACAGGGTTCTCTCCGTGTTATTGTCACTGGTGGATCCAAGTCCTGCTTGCTTAGTGGAAGCAGACAGGGGGATGAGAGGAAGCTGAGTGTGAGTGGTAGTGAAGATATCCTTCAGATGTATTTGGGGAGGATCAAGTGGGGCTTCAGGGCAATGAGGTGGAGAGTGGAAGGGAATGAAATGGCAGATATGAAGATCACTTCATAATTAAAAGTCTGCTGAAGGAAATGGACTTTTACTGTTTTTATAAATGCCAAGAGATTGGGGTGAAGTACAAGGGCAATGCAGAAAGATTGAGGAATACCTTATAAAAATTTCTTTGTTGACCTTAATAGCAGATCAGTTTTAATGACAAAAGTGATCTTTGAGTCAAGCCTTATAATATTTAAGGCTTTGCATTTTAACACCATAAGCCACTACCTCAATTTTCTGTCTCCAAACTTACATTTTTACTAGGTTCAAAGCTGGGCTGATCAGATGCCAATTCCCCAATCAAAAGTGACGCCATGTGCTTCCTTACTAGAGTCTTGTCAACATGAAAGGCTGTGAAAGGATCCTAAAGCATAAAGAAAAAAGAAAGAAAAAATATTATAATAAAGAACCAGTTTAAAGGCAACCTGGAAGAAACATGTTTAGCCTAAGTGATTATACTTGATTCTTACTTTTCTTCTTTCCAATTCAAGGCATCACAGACATAATTCCCAGGAGGTGTTTGACCCAGGATGAAATTATTTTCCTTCAAGAACTCTTTAAAAGTGAGCTTCAATGTGCTGTCAAGCAAATACCAAAAAGGATCTTTTGTGTATTATGGGCAATTTCAATACAAAACTAGCCCAAGGAGAAGTTGCAAGAATAGTAGGTAAATTTGGGCTGGGAGAATGGAATGAAGCTGATGATTGCCTAGTGCAATTTTGCCAGGAAAACCATCTCAGCATAATGAACACACGGTTTATTCAACACAAGCAACATTTATATAAATGGACAGCACCAAATGGACAACATTCGAAATCAGATAGACACCGGAAAAGTTCAGTTGCATCTGTTAAAACACTTCCTGGGGCTGATTGTAGCTGGTTGTAGCTTAGACCATCAGCTATTAGTGGCTAAACTGAAGCTCAAATTCTGCAAGGTGAAAAAAAGATATTTCACAGCCTGTGTCAAGAGACATGGACTACATGTTAATGGCCTCAGGACTGGAAAAAAAATATGTTTTAATCCCACTAGTAAAGAAAGGTGATGCCAGCGACTGCTCCAACTATCGCAAGATTGCACTGATTTCTCATGCCAGCAAAAATCATAAACAGAGTCTACAGAATGTCATTGATCAAGAATTACCTATCCTATCCTATCCTATCCTATCCGATCCTATCCTATCCTATCCTATCCTATCCTATCCTATCCTAAAGTTGCATCTCTTGGTCATTCATCTTTCTTCCAATTTCTTGAGTAATTTGTTCCTCTTGCTCTTCTCTTGTGACATCCTTAGAACATAGTTGATCTAAAAAGTGAAATATTATGTTTAAATACTTTTTCTAAAATAACTTTTGCCTCTCTGACTCACTTAGATACCTGGTGCTGCTTCATCTTCTTTTATTCTTTAGCTCCCTCTTGTGGTCAAAGAATAAATCCTTAAAAATAGTTTTTGTGGATCAGTAGTCATGCTTATTTTGAAGAGTTTTGCGACAGTAGAAATAACTGTCCCTGAGTTTTTTTAGTTTCTTCAGTCTCTGAATGATCTCAGCTTGTTCCCATGGATAAGACTAACAACAGATGCCATTCAGCTTTCATCCTCATTTCATCTTGTGCATATTTTTCTTTGCTTTTCCTCTCAATTCTTTAATATATTGAACTTTTCTGCAACAGCTTGTCCAGTCTTTGTTTGTCAGGAATAAATCCTTGAGAGTGCCTTAATCAGGGTATTTTGTTTTTTAAAAAATGAATAAAAAGTCCTGCTGATGACTTAGCCTGGTAACGAAACGTTTGGGAGCTAAATGGCAAGCTCAGAGAGCAAACCATTGCCAAAATCTAAAACCTGAGCTACAAGTATTATCTATTATTTCAATGAATAAAAATGTATAAATAGGTTTTTAAAAAAACCCTTAACTTCATTACAGCAGTTCAACAACTTTATTTGCTCTAAGATGAAGAAAAAAAAAAAGAGTCTGTGCTGATCAGAGAGAGTGTTTAACTCAGGGTTTCCTGAGTGATCAATACTGATCCACCAGTGTTGATGGCATTATCCAAGGGGTTGGAGTCATTGTTATTATTGGTGGTATATTAGTTAGAGTAGTATTTATTAAATTAGTTTCCTACAACAAATGTTTTGGGAATTAATGAGTAATCTGAAACTGCATGAAGGGGGTGATGGGCTGAAGAGTCTGGGGACTCCTGATTTAACTAAAAATCCAGAAAAAAAAGCCTGGTAACGAGATTACACTCCTGTGTCATTCCATGAGGTTTAACTGTGGAGTACAATCATTTCATTTGTCACCGTCAAAGCAACTAGTTTCGTCATGATCCTCAGCTTCTATCAATTACTGTATAAATCTGGTAAAAAAACCCCTGCAATTCTGTTCATATTTATTCCAATAATCTTGGAATAAAATATATTTGATATGCATAGAATTGGATTTTTATTATTCATAATTTTAATTAGTTAAATGAAAAATTGTATATAATCAACAGCCTTTTTCTTTATCCTTAACTGTCCAGAAAATTAGTTATAGTTCCATCAAAAAAAAAAAAAAACCTTCCCAAAATGTAGACCAAACCTCAGCATAACCAGTGGAAGAAATGTGCTTTGGCTGCTCTAAAATTCAACAGAAAATCAGAAGGGAAAGATTGTTTGTTATATATGATAGATTGATTGCTATTGTTTATTTCTTTAAAGAAGAGAGGCAAGGGCAAAAAAGGAAAAATGTTGTATTTTATTTTGCAATTCTCCAGATTCAATCATATTAAGGATATCTTTACACAAACAACTATAACCTGACACTTAATATAGTACAGAACTATGTTCAATTTGAAAGAGGCCTTAGCTGGATGGCAGGTTCGTTCTTTGTCTTCTCCCAACAGAGCTGGATATCCTTTATGAAGCTGCAGGGAGCAGCTGTCAGTTAGTGTTGATGAGCAGGGAAGCAGGGTCCATTGAGATGATAACACCAACTCTCAGTATCTCAGTTCTGATCACACTGGATGGATCCCGGAAGTTGTGGAATTCTGGAAGGCTTTAAATTGCTCATCCCTAAAGTAGAATATTCTGTACTAGTTAGATTAATAGTGAGACTTGGCATGGCAGTTTGCAGTGGGTATGCAAATAATGTTGATTGCTGCCTTGAGTTAGCATGGCTTGCAATGGAATCAAAGATGGACAGTTATGTGAATTTGGCTGTATATGAAAGAGAATAAAAGACTTTTGTTATTGAATTCCGGTTTGGTGGGTGATAAGACGGGTGGAAGAAGCCAGGGCTCCGGCTTCCCAGCCCGGTTTTGTTCTGCCTGGCGACCCCAAAGGGTCAGAAAGTTGCTCTGGAGGGGTAACGAAGGAGGGATGTTTCTTCAGTCCGCCTGGTGGTCGGTCCAGGCGGACTGAAGAAACCATCTGAAAGGATGGAGGAAAGGCTGCCGGGTGAGCCCAGGCAGCCCAAGTCATCACTAGCCAGAAGAAAAGCGAGGAGCCATGGTGCTCCGCCAAAGAGCTGACTGTCAACAGCGTGCTGAAACTAGGTGAGCCAGTTCTTTTTCCTTTCCTTTTGGATTTAAAAACGTTGATCCCCTGACTGGGAAGAGCTAAAAAGTAAAAAACCCCAGAAGGACTAAGATTTAAAGGCGGTGAGCAACTACAAAGGGGGAAGATTTTTAAGGAATACAAAAGAATTTTCAAAAATTGAACACAGATTGATTTAAAGAAAGACCATTTAATCTACAAGAGGTGGAAAAAGGTTTTAGGTGTAATTTCAAAGGTAAATAACGTATAAAGAAGTTTAAAAGAAAAACTTTGTAACAATCTTTTAAAACCAGATATTGATAAAACAGTGTATGAGGACATCTAGTGGTGAAAGAAAAAATACAGTATTATTAAATAATAAAGGAATTTGAAAATATTTGACCTTGAGACAACACCTGGTGTAAACAAAGTGCCTTGTGTGAGTTTACAAGTGAAAAGACTTCGTATAACTATATTTCTTGACTCTGGATATAACTAAAATAGGAATTACTTGGAGACAGTGAACGTTTTACATCGGAGACTCGATTGGAGGAGTTGATTTGGTCTAAAGTATTGGCCCAGGTTTTTTGGGTTGGATTTTAGCCTAAGATAGTTGGCTTTTTTCTTTTTTCTTGCTGCATTTTGTTTTTTCTCCTTGAGATATTGGATTTAGCCTAAAGTAGTTGGCTCCTTTTACAGTTTGGATTTTACCTTAAGATAGTTGGCTGGAAAGATGAGTACATCAAACATCACTAGACTTATGAAAAAACCTCTTCTGCACCCTCTGTTGGAACACCTAGTCCAACAACCCAGGGATCCATTGAAACAATCTTGCAGCATGAGAAAATAAGCACCACCCAAAATGAGATGCCAACTATATTAAAATTGATTCAAGAATCAATGCGAAAAAACTATGAAGAGACAAAAAGTAACTCTGATAAATTAAGCAAAGAAATCTTGGCTATAAAGACACAATTTGAAGTTCACCACCAAATGATTGTCAAGAGTGAACAAAGAATTCAGAAAATGGAAAATAAATCAGATGATATTGATAAAAAAGGAAATATTATTGCAAGAAAATGAAAAATTAGAACAAGCAAACCAAAATCTAGAAGGAGCGGTGGCGACCTTAGAAATGGAGAAGGTGGAACACTACTTAAGATTCCAAAATATCCCTGAAGATAGAGAAGAAAACATAGCAGTTGTGATTACTGAGCTTCTGGCAGAGGCTTTGAAAGCAGACAGAGCAGAGATGCAAATGGAGATAGATGAAATATTTCGAATAAACTCCAGCTACGCGAGGAGATATAAACTACCCAGCGAAGTGCATGTGAGATTTATAAAGAAAACAACAAGAGATGAAATACTGAGAAAAGTTAGAGATGAGCCATTACAATACAAAAACAAAGAAACTGTGGTCCTAAAGCAGATACCCAAGAAAGTAAGAGATACCCGAAGACATTATCATTTCCTAACCAAAAAGCTGATTGCAAAAGGCATAAATTTTAGGTGGTTAATGCCAGAAGGGATTTTAATCAACTGGAATAATACAAGATACCGATTGTCCAATCCCCTGCTCAAGCAGGAGACCCTATACCATTTCAGACATCCAGTCTTTTCTTAAAAACCTCCAGTGATGAAGCACCCACAACAACTGAAGGCAAGCTGTTCCACTGGTTAATTGTCCTCATGGTTAGGAAGTTTCTCCTTAATTCATGGTGGCTTCTCTCCATTCTTATTTTCCATCCATTGTTTCTTGTCTTGCCTTTTGGTACTTTGGAAAATAAGTTGACCCCCCTCTTTTTTGTGGCAGCCCCTCAAATACTGGAATATTGCTATCATGTCACCCC